ATTTTTTTTTATGATTTTTTAACTAGTCAACTTGAAAATGTAACTACAACATGACCCAAGTAACTTTTTCTTTATTAACCCTCCATTTAAAGAAAATTCTAATCCACGTGCACCACACATGAAGTTGTCAACATGATGTAAATGTTAAGCAAATCACTTGTTAAATATCTTTGCAGAAAGGATGCATGAATTACAACTACGTCTTGTACAAACTTGTCTTATACATATTATATGTTCAGAAATAATACGAGGAAAATGCTTTAAAAAATTCGCAAAAGTCAAAGTAATTCAAATTCAAAATGTTCAAATTCAAAACATTTTGAATTTGAATGACCTTGACTATTATTAACTATAAATGTACTGTAAAAACAATGAACAGCAGCTTTCAAACTGTCACCATGATGCAAACATGAAATATCAGACATACAGTAGTAGTTCTTTACAGGTTTTTTATTCGATTGCACTGCTTTTGCATAAATTTTTCTATGTAAACATGGACGCATTTGACTTTTGCGCTCGCGTCTCTTGCAGCGTCTCGTGCATGAAACGGCATTCTAAAAATGCGGTGCTCAAGTTAAAAGAAGTTCAACTCCCATTTTCTTGTATTTTTTCCTATTCCATTTCCCGCATTGAATCTTTGTCAACACAAAAGCGCATTCTGTGTGAATGGCAACTAGCTATATATTCTACTTCACAGAGCGCGTCACACCTGAGCGGTTAATCATGTGCGCCGACATGTGGTTGGATCATTCTTTTCTCTTTACTGTTATCATTGGAATATTGTCAAAGTGTCCAATTCTATCTTTTCTATTCCAAATCGTGATTCCTTGATTTATAAAAATAAAATTATGGCAAAACATTAAATTCGAAATTAATCGATAAAATCGGAAAAATCGCCCAGCCCTAATTTACAGTAGTTTGGCAAATTTTTGCAGGTGAAATGCAATTATTTCAATAGGAGTCCAGGTGATTGGGAATATCACAAAAGCTTTCCCCACACAGATTTCGCAACGAGTTCAAGTTGGTCATACAAATTAACCAACTGACCTTGTTAAATTTGAGACCGCACCATTAATGGATGGTCCACACAAAAATAAACATTCTGTCATCATTTACTCACCCTCATGCCCTGCAAAACCTTTAAGACTCACTTTCTACGCTAGAACATAAAATAAGGTATTCTGAAGAATGTTGGTAACCAGTTTTGGTTCCAACTAGGGTGGCCATATGTGCCATTTATACGGGACACGTCTTGACCAGGATTTTTATATTGCCTAAAACATCCAAAGTAGTTTGACCAATAACATGCAGGTATTGTATATAATCGACCAATCGTGGTGCATGAGAAGGTGAGATCTACAGAGAACGAGCAAAGCCATGCAAATATGTGCACGTGTTTGCTTGTTCGTTCGACTTGAAGCGGTGCTGCGCAGTCCGATCATTGTAAGACACCAAAATACCGCGAGAGTGATTCGAAAGCATAAGGAGCCGTCTGCTCTGCTCTCAGTAGCTCTCGTGAATGTCATACAACGATCGATCTGCACAGCGCAAAGAGCCAAAACCTGGATATTTTAGGCAATATAGAAATCCTGGCAGGGACGTGTCCCATAAAAATGGCCCGTATGGTCACCCTAGTTCCAACTGACTTTCAGTGACTGGATAAAAAAATGGAACGCCAATAGAAAAGGAAAGCATTTGGTTACCAACATTCTTCAAAATATCATCTTTTGTGGTTTGCAGAAGAAAGAGTCATACAGGTTTTACACGTACAAAGAAATTCTGAAATTCAGCTTCAAATCAGTCACTTATGAGGACACTTCCTACATAAGTAGTAAGCAGTGAGGCAGTTCACTAGGTAGTGCTAGAGTGTACCTTTAGATATATGACTGCCGACGTGCCGTATCCTTCCATAGAGTAGAGCTGCAGATCTCCCTGGAAGTACTTGGCATAAAGGCGGGAAATAGGAAGACCATAGCCAAAACCAGCCTGCAAAAAAAGCAAGCCATAGTAAGTATGTGAGAGAAAGAGAAAACATTACAACTGCATTACAATACTAATCTGGTGTAAACAATAAACTGAACTGTTGGTAATTCTGCTCATTTATAACTGTAAGCTCACAGTTTACTTGAAAACATAACTGTGGATCAAAGATTTACCATGTGGTATCATTGCACAACAAAGACAATCTGCATATAGTATGTTTAATTAGACAGCCTAGGTTCTTACCAGGGGAGCATTACGGCTGTTTTCAGCCACAGGACTCGGTGCAGTTGAATACATGTAGCTGAAAAGCCTTTCGATTTTCCTCAAAGGAACTCCACCTCCTCTGTCAGACATCTAATATACCACAAGAGTCATTACAAGCATGTTTTGGCTCTCACTGCTCTTGCAAGTATGTTGCAAGTTAAAACAGAGATAAAATATTAAACTTTTGCTGACCCGTTACAACTGTGCATCTGAAAAAGCATGAGTGCTGAGGTGTTGAAAAAAGCTCACCTTGATGGTCAGATCTTCACTTCCTAGAGAAACTCTCACTTTGATTGGTGGTAGATGTAGGCTGGTCTCATGGGTTTCCACAGTTGCTCTCATTGCATTCTGTTACAGAGAAAAAACACACATTATCATCAAATGCTTGATGGTCAAGTTAATTCAAACCCATTTGACTTTCTTACTTCTGTGGAACACAAAAGGAGACGTTTAGCTGAATGCCAATGCAGCTCTTTTCCATATAATGAAAAAGCCCAAAACGTACCACTGAATGGTCCATACAACTTGTTCACTACATTCCAAGTCTTCTGAATCCATACAATAGCTTTGGATAAGGACCAGACAAAGTTTTAGTCATTAATCACTGAAAATCTAGCTCTTAAATCTCATTTACACTTGCACATATTCTTGTTTTGTAACTAATTGCGATGTATTAACATTCTGTAAAAACTAATTTTGTGTTCTGCAGAAGAAAATAAGTCATACAGGTTTAGAACGACATGAGGGTGAAGTTATGATGATGCATTTGCCTCTTTTTTACGTTGTTTATGTAAGTCTATCATTGTGTAGGCTATAGCTACTATAAAGTGATTCAAGTACCTTGAAGAGCTCAAAGAGCATGTGGTACAGATGAGAAGGCACATAAACTATATGTATAGGGTCACTGGATCCTTTAACTGTAAAAACAACAGATATATCAATTCAGTAACAGTTGAGTAACCCAAAAAACAAGGCCCACATACATTTTTTATTTTAAGAATGCAAAGAAGAAATCAACACTGGCATGCTGCCCAAACTAGTCAGGTATGAAGCACATGATAGAGGTTATGCTGGCTAATTTGTTACTATGTGTTGGTAAAAAAACGCCGCAACAGTGGTCACTCAACCTTGTAGGTTCTCTTTGCTTGACACAATAGTACACTGCTATTTACATGTCTAAGAGATAAAACGAGAGATCATGCCAACATTTTGCCATTATGTAACTAGGTACACAGTGCTGTTCCTATCATCCATTTCTCCATAGACACACAGTGATAAGATTATAAAGCGCTATTTCTGTCAACACCGATAAGTGATTTAAGAACTAACTAAATGTGGTTGCATAATAGTTAAAGTTTCTAATAAAAACAAATTCAAATACTCTATGCTATTATTTATTACTATCAATCCACATTATGCATCTTATTGTACTTATACTGTAAATGTACATTACAGTGACACTGCCATTCTAATGTTTGGGGGTCTGTAAGATTATTTTAATGATTTTGAAAGAAGTCCCTTATACCAAGGCTGCATTTATTTGACCAAAAATACAGTAAAAAAACGTAATACTGTGAAATATTATTAAAATTTAAAATAACTGTTTTCTATATTAAAATATTTTAAAAATGTAATTTATTCCTGTGAAGGCAAAGCTGAATTTACACCAGCCATAACTCTTCAGTTAATAAGCCTTCAGAATTCATTCTGATATGCTGATTTGCTGCTCAAGAAACATTTCTTATTATTACTTATTATTAATGTTGAAAACAGTTGAGCTGATTAATATATTTATCTTTTTTAGGATTCTTTGAAAATATTAAGTTCAAAAGAACAGCATTTATTTGAAATAGAAATGTTTTGTAACACTATAAATGTGTTTATTGTAACTTTTGATCAATTTAATGCTCTCTAGCTGAAAAAAAAATGTGAAAGTTGAATTTCAGGTCATGCTTGGCTGATAAGATTTCACAGCATACCCATAATCCCCACCCAACACATTTTGTTGGCACCATCCCACACTGTCAAACAACTACAGTCTAACATGGAATCAATAAGACTGTAAATAAGCAAATAAGTGTAAATAAGACTGTAGAGAGCTCCACTGCAGAGTTCAGGTTTTCTGACAGTTCATGACTCACCATGTACAGGACACACAAAGACTGAAAGTCTGAGAGAAAAAAATTCTCGCTCACAGTTCACTTGTTTGATTTCCACTTCGGGAGAGGTCAAGTAGTACTGATCACACAGCATCTTGGCACTCTCATAGGCATCTAGAGAGAGAAAGTGTGAGACACGGTATGAGTTTGCCCATGTAGGGCCTACAATGTCCATTACACCCACAGTTTATTGGCTTTCTTTGACAGAGTAAATAAAAGTGTTACACAGGCAAGAAACATGGGTAATTACCTTTTACAACCTCCACAACGTCACAGTTTGGGTCGATACTGCCAATGTGTTTGGGGTGGGCTGGATTGGTGCTGCCATCGAAGATTAACGCTAAAATGAACACACATTTTAAATACATTTTATTTGTAGGAATGCATGATATATGGGTACTACATTGGTTATTTTCATATTATAATGACTGTTAATTAGCTGTATTGTATAACATTAGATCTACACTTCTGTTCAAATGTTTGGAGTTAGTAACTTTTTTTTTAAAGAAATTAACATTTTTATTAAGCAAGGACACATTAAATTCATCAAAAGTGACCGTAAATACATTTATAATGTTACAAATAATACGGCTCTTTTGAATAGTAGTGTGTATAAGTCAATAGTAGATGTTTAACTGCATTTGCTTATTTCCCCTATTTTTGCATTTAATTTGCCATCATCTAAGGCTCACTTAAAGTTAATCTATAAAAACACTGATAATTTCATAACACTGTTCAAATCTTTAGTAAATCTCAAAATTAATATCCATTTTCTCATGCTGTGCAATATAATGCCTGAATTCACTGAAAGCATTTAATTTTAAATTATTTAGACAAAATAGTACAGAATTTTTAAATATATTTTTTATTCATTGGTTATGAAGCTATGGAACGTTACATTATCAGCAGATGGTTAATCTATTGTTTCAGCTGAGACAGAAATATCCATCCTGCTTGGCTAGGGCTTTAGTACATGTCCTGAACACTTACAGTGCTGATTCATCAGCATGCGTGTGGAGATTCGGCTCATGTAGAAGCGGTCCAAAAAATATTGGACGTTCTGATTGGTCACGGGATCCACGCCAAAGGCCTCCTTGTACTCCAGCACGCCCTGTGCCATGGTGGGCACCACATTGTTGTGCCTGTTCCTGACATTGATCAGTGTTTCTGTGAATCTAAGAGACACGCCATCCAGTTAAACACACTATTAGAGGTCACTTAAAACAGGCTGCAGCCAAGTTAAACATGAACTAAACATGAGTAAGATTAATGACTTTGGATTTCCCAGAATGCTCCTGAATACTATACTTACTTAGTTAGGATTTTTTTATCATCAGGGTCTTTCTCCAAAAAGTCAACAAGCTCCATCAAACTCTGCGCATACCTGTTTTTGAGAGTAAACAAACATTCAGGGTTTATTTTTAGACTGACTTAAATACAACTCAGTTTTATTTGATGTGATTTATTAATTGATTAATAAATGAACTTTATTTTCTTATTTATTTTCTATAATAAAACTTGAATTTCAGTTTCAGAGTTTTGATTACAAATTTTTTTTAGGTGCACCACTATTTCCAAATGAAACAAAATTGAATTAAATCAAATGAGATAAGAATCAAATTGCATAAAAATTGAATTGTACCAATACCCAGCCCTATTTGAAACACAGCCATAATGCACCACACATTATGTAATACTGTGTATCGTTTCCTTTGAACAACAAAGTCAATGTAGTTGTTTATCTGAATGGCTAACGGAGGTACAAAGCACTGACAGGTATTTATTTTAACCACTGATCCAATTCTTATCACTGCTTTCCCAAAGCTGAATGGTGATTAAACAGCTTTGCATAGATAATTTAATGCTTGGAGTCAAATCAAGCCCCCCATGTGACTTTTGGCAAGGGAGATGTGCTGCAGAGAGAACAACAGTCTTACACGTGACACAATGAACGCACTGTACTAGCTACAATCCACCTGACTGACAGTGTTCTGTGTCAGTGTGCCGCATTGTCAAAGAGGACTTGTTTACACTGAGACATCTAGGAAGGCTGCAGCGCACTTGTTTGTGTTCAGTGTCTCATGCTACCTGACACCGTATAACATTTTGATGAACACATTTGAAAGTTACATTTAGTTCACATTGTGATCTCAGCATAATTCAAGAGATTCTAGAGTTTTGAGGACAAAGGACCCTGAAACAAATGGACTATCACATATGAAGACTTAAAACTCGAGTTATAAAAATATTAACAACAAAAATAACAACAAATCTGTTTCATATAGGAAATACCAAGGGCAATTGTAGCATTTTGTACATTGTCCTTCATAACTCACAAACTATTACAAATCTACCTATTATTTATTGGAATAATGTAATGTAATATTACAGAAATACATACTAAATATTTTGTTTAAAATAAATAAAACATACTAAAAAGAAAACTATCAAAGAATATGTATAGTACATCAATAAATACATTTGTTGAAAATTCATACTTTTTTCTCAGGCAGAAAGAAACCTTAAGCACTCCACTGAGCATAATGCAGAGTTTCATAACATTTGCTTGTTTGTGATTGAATAAATGTGTGTGTTACTCTCCCGGTATCATGTATAGTTTTCATAAAAGCCTCTGAATCCAGCATAGTCAGCGGAAAAAGTTCAGTTTACATAACGCCCACAATTGCATCATTTTCAATGCATTCCAGTTGACTTGTTGAACACAAAGCCTCTGCTAAACTTTGTAAGACAAAGGTCAATAACTACAACAGCTCATTTTGAACTTATAAATCATTCTGTCCTTCAAATCCAGTCCATTCAGAAGTCTATTCTTGAACAGAAAACCTTTCCATGAAGAACAAGAACAATCGCCTGCACATTTACCCCACTTGAAAACCAGTACTCTGTCAACTATTAAATACATGTTATTCATCATTTTCTCATTCAGTTTTGTTTTAAACCTTTTGCTTTCAATAGAGAAGAGTGACAGAAAAGTTCACAGGAAAAGGATCAGGATGTGACAAAGGTCAGGCTCTGACCTACATCCTCATGAGAACAACTCTTACATGTCTCAAACATGTTCTACTTGCTAATATTAAAATAGCATATACCTACAAACACTTATTTTGGCTATTCTAATTGATTTATGTTTTACTTTTAACAAACTAGCTAAGAAAGATCATTACTTATCTGGTCTGTGGATTCCTTAAATGACTTCTTTTATGGTGTAAAAAAGCCAGCTGTCTATCCATCATCTTTGTTTTCATGATTTAAACTGCATTAATGAATTTGACCTCAGGTTCAAGTTTCAGAACACTACTAACTTTTATATATCCATATGCATTTTAGCCTAAAGATGAACAGAAATGTTATCTGAAAACACATTACTATACAACCTGGACTAGCTAGAATGGTGGCTAAATAATTCTCAAAAATGCTGACGAAGTTTGGTGATATCCTAAGTTTTTGCTAAGAGGTTGTTACAATGTGCTGAATCAACATTTCCCACCAACACACTTGCTGTATGTCTAACAGTAATAAATGTTACAGAAACATACCAACTTTTATTTGCTCTCCAACTTACAAGGTCCTTATCTAAAAGACTTCATGGTCACCTTTCGTTTGAAGTCATGTGCTGCACACTATAAGTCATACATGTCATATGAGTTGTAAAAACTTTATAATAGAGAGCCTAGAGTAGGCAGAAATTCATCACACTGAAGCATGTGGCACTTCAGGGAGTCTAGAACAGCATGTCAGCTGTGGATCTCACCAGCTATGAAGCAGCTTCAGTGAAGGCGTGCTGAGCAGTTTGTCTGGGAGGAAGTCGATCTCCTTCATGATGTTGGCTAAACGGACAGGAAGCTCTTGCCTTAAAAACATGAAGGAGGTCTTTTCACAGGCATTGGCTGATCCTGCGAGCAAGACGGGACTACATTAGTAAGAATTTTGCTCTTGAACTTGACATGTACGGCATACCTGAAAATCCCTATACAGTTAAGACCAATATTTTGGTATAATCCCTAACAAGACATCAGTTTGAACATATGTGTAGACTTCTAAATGACTGTGGATTTAGCTTTGTAATATGAGATGTTATGTAAAATGACACTTTAGATTAGAAATGTGTATATTTTAAATATTGTTATTGTTAAATATTGTTTTTAATGACAGTTGTCTTTAAGAACCTGCAACAATGCAGAAAAGTTAATAAAAAAACAGACACAGTTTTTAAGAATGACTTCTTACCTCATTGTGTAGAAGTACTTAAGGTTAAAGTATAATAAATATATGTGTACAGCTATTAAAAACAACATCAATGGTACAGTTTATTTTGTGAGGTGATATTCAATTTATATATAATCAAACAACTATATTTAAGTCATTTGAGAGATTTTTTCATGCAATCTCTTCTACCAAATAACAGTAAGAGGAAGGTTGTGTCTCAAAACCTAGAGAGCTGCCTATGTAGACGTCATAGTGTGCATTACAGCTGCATACAATATTGCATAAGTAGATTTAGGCTGTTTTTACAAAAAAAATGCAATGTTATACATGGTACAGTAATGGTAATACTATGGTATTTTGATACGGTTTATGACATATTCCCCATGATACACGTAAGAAAAAAAAACAAACAAACATAAAATTACCATAATACCATTTTATAATATGCCCTTGCTACTACAAACGTGCCTTTATACTTTTTATTAGTGAGCTCACTAGTAGGTTTTCAGACACAACCACGATGAGTTGGCTCCATCAGATCAATTTCTAACAGGTAAACAACTCACCAAAGTCAATGAACTGCTTCATTGACAGCGGGGACGGAGAGTACTTTGAAAATCTGTCCACTTGTTTAGGTATGTTCAGCTTTGAGCTGTTCTTCAGCATGATCTGGGCGAACTTCATGTTGATGTTCAAGTGAAATCCACAGTTTTTGAAACGTTCTTCTCAGCGAGTTATAGTCCTCGTCTCATCAGACGCAGTTCGCAAAGTTTGACATTCTAGCACAGCCTGTTACTTCATCACATAAATGAAGATCTCCGCAGAAATCTGGTGTGACCGGACTGTCCGGTGGTAGAGTCCTCCTGAATCGCTCTAATTCGGTTTAATTTGTCATTGCACCAAAATAACTGACCAGCACAAGGTACAAAACAGGGTACAAACATAACACAAGGGAGGGAGGGGAGAGGGAAGACTGTTACTTCAATCTGCATAGATATAGTACAATAGAGTTGAACCAACACAACGTGTTCTCTTTCTATTCTTATCGACAGGTAAAAAGCTATCATTGCATTGCATAGTAGTTAATATAAAGAGACTGATTATATGATTTTGTCATATGCTCTTTCTTGTGCAGCCATCAGAAATGGGCTTCGCTATCTACATGCTATGCATCTATATCGCCCTGCCATTGACGCATGCGCACAGCTAATGTAGAGCAAAGGTCTTTGGGAGTGGGGCTGAGACACACATTTTTTTTGTATTGTACAGCGTGTTCCGCATCCTCTAAATGACTGAGGGGACAAATCACTTATAATAACCTCAATTAGTTCCTTAATGCGACAATATAGGCTACAATACATTGAGAAAACCTTTTAAAAAAAGGATGAAAAAATTATTAAATGCGAATTTGTAATTCATGTAGGCCTATTTAGTTTCAGGGTTATCAATACTAAAGGAAAAAATATTAAGGAAAAAAAATAATGTGTACAGAGTATACAATAATATAAAGTATGTAATATTAAGATTCCAAAACAGAGGCTTTACAAAAATCATATTACAATCAAACTGTTTTTCATCACCCCTGTTAATCTAGTGATTTCTATTTTAAAATTAGTGCAATCATTTTTAAAATAATTGTATTTATTTATTTTACAGTGACCATTTACTGTAAATTTTAGGCACATTTCGGCTGGTCAGGCTGAGAAACCTGCAGCCCAGCTTAAACCAGCAAACAATCTTTAGGCTGGTTTCTAGATATTTTTAGCAGTATTCTGAATGACAAAAGGCTAAACTGCCTTGCTCTTTTGGACTATGGCTCCATCTAGTGGTGTACAACCATTCAAACGAACCTAATGTATACAGCTATAGTTTCTGTACGTCAACGCAAAAAAAAAAAATCCGCTAGGTGGCACTGTTCAATTAAATTAAATTCAAGTTTATTTGTACAGCGCTTTTCACGATACAAATCATTGCAAAGCAACTTTACAGCAAATTAAGTTTCTACAATATTTAGTGGTAGCTTATCAGTGGTGACTGTCAGTTAATGTACATATGGCAGAAATGTACGGAAAAATAAATTAAAGACGTAATCAAACACGTTGAAAACTATTAACAGCAATTATTATATGATGCAATCAAACTTATAGCAAAATGTGGTAGTTCTGTATGTTGTTTCAGGGTTGGCATCATCTGAGGTCCTCTGAGGGGTTGGCATCATCTCTTCTGTGGACTTTGCTATCCTAGGTACTACCAAAAGTCCAGAGTTTTGCGACCTTAGGGAGCGTGATGGATTGTAGCGTGGTAGAAGACTAGTTAGGTATGCAGGAGCTAACCCGTTAAGGGCCTTATAGGCAAGTAATAATATTTTGTAACTGATACGCAACTTAATAGGTAGCCAGTGCAGAGACTGTAAAATTGGGGTAATATGATCATATTACATGTTGCAGTGGATTAATTTATTTCTAAATTATAACAGCATTTTGGAAAGGGAGAGCTGGGATCTTTTAGTTATCTCTAGGTAGCAAGGCGGTCTATGACAATCTTGCCACCTCTGAAAAATGTAGGCCACTAGCCTTACATTTTGCCAACAGCTTTGATGAATTTCTAAACGATCGCATCGTATAATCTCAAACATGTTTTAATCAAAGGGCCGCATTAAAGCGGATGGCAGACTGTGTGCATCAGCAGTGATACAGCATATTTCAGTGGACAGCATCCACACTGGGAACAGGTAGGAAGTGTCACACACACCGGGTGCATGTTTCTCACGCTCACATAACTGTGAGGTTTCATACGTGCATTTCGTTGTGTTTCATGCTTTATTTTCGATGACTTCATAATCGCATATGGTTTATGATGTCATTGTGCTTCTCTTGGTACCCACTGTTAGCAATAGCAACGCTGACATCATTTGTATATCCAAATGTATCATTGTGACATCTGTGTAATATAACTGGATTTTAAATAATTGTTTATTTTATAACTCTCTGTAATCGAATTGGAGTCTGTTATGACAACAAAACCAGAATTATGATACATGACAGTCCACCTAATGTAGCATCTTCCTCATAGACAGCTATCTCCGGATCTTATGAACCTGACCACATCATGAATGTGACGTTTGCATGATAATTTGCAATCAAAATATGTTTTTATTTATTGATTTGTGTTTTTATTTAATGCATTTACATTTTGTTTTATGTTTTAATTAAGCTTTAATAAAGCTTTCCCCCACAGTCTGATATTGTTTTGTTTTTATTACCACTCCTTTTCTTTTTTTTTATCATATGATAAAGCCTAGTATTTACAGTTTTGAGAAGTATTATTCTTAGATCATATAGATACAGTCATCTGCCACACCCGTAATATTGAATAGAGGGCATGGTTTTTATTTTGGCGCTCCTCCTCTCTGTCTCTCACTCATAACAAACTAACGGTTGGAGGGGTGTGTTTAAAAGGATATTCTGCCCAAGCCGTCAAACTGAAATCAGAGAAGGACTGCCATTCCAGAGCAGAAGCGAATTATCAGATTTTGATTAAAGATTACCAAGACAAACAATTTTTTTCAGCGGATTAACTTGCACGGATTAATTGTTCACATCAAGACTAGCAATGTGCATTAGTAAAGTAAATAAAGTCAATTTTGCTTTCATGCCGACTAAACTGGTTTGAATGGGCGCAAAAGTCCTAGTGTAGTCTAGGACTTTAGACTGAAAAGGAGCATCCTGCAGATGAGGCATTAAACTGGCCTCCTGACACTCTGTTGTCATGAATTCCCCACCTCAATTACGAATTAGACTTTGTTTTCTATTTGAAGCTGGTAGCACATTCTGATGGCTGGTAGGCCATTGAGAAAAACTAGCTTGCTGCTGGAGCTAGTTTTAGTCCGGCCAGCAGGGGGTGCTCATTCCCTGGCTTGTATGGATGCAAAAGTCTCAGTATAAAGAATCGGACTTCAGAATGTAAAACGAAGCAGCCTTTTGATAAAGCGTTAGACGGGCACCTGTAACAAGGAGCATCATTCAGGTGAGGCATTAAATTGGCCTCCTGAGATTCTGTTGTCATTATTTCCCCGCCTTAATCATGAATTTGACCTCATTGTTTAAGCTGGTAGCGCATCCTGATGGCATCATTGAGCTTGTCAGGATGCGCTACCCCTCTATTAGAGCAGCTTTATTAAGGCACAGACTACGAATGCAGCTGTGGCATGCAGTAGGCAGTGTCTGGTTCCTCTCTAAAGCTAAGCAGGCCAGAGCCTGGTCAGTACACTGGCGGGAGTCCATTTGTGAAAATGTAGTTTGCTCCTGCAGCTAGTTTTAATCCAGCCAGCAGGGGGTGATCATTCCCTGGCTTGAATGGGTGCAAAAGTCTTAGTTTACTGACGCAGACTTTAGACTGTGATAAGGAGCATCCTGCAGATGAGGCATTAAACTGGCCTCCTGACACTCTGTTGTCATGAATTCCCCACCTCAATTACGAATTAGACTTTGTTTTCTATTTGAAGCTGGTAGCACATTCTGATGGCTGGTAGGCCATTGAGAAAAACTAGCTTGCTGCTGGAGCTAGTTTTAGTCCGGCCAGCAGGGGGTGCTCATTCCCTGGCTTGTATGGATGCAAAAGTCTTGAATCTTCTGTTTATTCAGCTGCAGCGATAGGCATTTTCTGGGTTTCTTCTGCGAGGCGTATTTGGAGTTTCAGCGCGAGAGCACCCTCTGGCCTTTGGATGGAGATTTACTGCTGATCACAAAACCGTGCTTCACTGAAAGATACGCATGACAATCGCAGCTTCTGTCGAATCGCGATCTCGATTCCATTTCGATTTATCGTGCAGCCCTAGCGCATAGTAATAATTCAGCTTTTGCTTGCAGTAGGCTCTATTAGGCCCTCTATTAGAGCAGCTTCATGAAGATGCAGACTACGAATGCAGCTGTTGCTTGCCGTAGGCAGAGTCTGCTTCCTCACTAAAGCTAAGCAGGCCAGAGCCTGGTCGGTACACTGGTGGGAGACCATTCGTGAAGATGTAGCTTGCTGCTGCAGCTAGTTTTAGTCCAGCCAGCAGGGGGTGATCATTCCCTGGTTTGAATGGGTGTAAAAGTCCTAGAGTAATAACTCGGATTTTAGACTGTGAAAAGGAGCATCCTTCAGACGAGGCATTAAACCGGCCTCCTGACATTTTGTTGTCATGAATTCTCCACCTCAGTTACGAATTTGACTTTGTTTTCTTTTTGAAGCTGGTAGCACATTCTGATGGCTGGTAGGCCGTTGTGAAAAACTATGCAGCTAGTGCAGCTAGTTTTATTCCAGCCAGCAGGGGGTGATCATTCCCTGGCTTGAATGGGTGCAAAGTAATGACGCGCCTCCTGACACTCTGTTGTCATGAATTCCCCACCTCAATTACGAATTAGACTTTGTTTTCTATTTGAAGCTGGTAGCACATTCTGATGGCTGGTAGGCCATTGAGAAAAACTAGCTTGCTGCTGGAGCTAGTTTTAGTCCGGCAAGCAGGGGGTGCTCATTCCCTGACTTGTATGGGTGCAAAAGTCTCAGTATAACGAATCGGACTTCAGAATGTAAAACGAAGCAACCTTTTGATAAAGCGTTAGACCGGCACCTGTAAAAAGGAGTGTCATTCAGATGAGGTATTAAACTGGCCTCCTGACATTCTGCTGTCATTATTTCCCCGCCTTAATCATGAATTTGACCTCATTGTTTAAGCTGGTAGCGCATCCTGATGGCCGCATTGAGCTTGTCAGGATGCGCTACCCCTATATTAGAGCAGCTTTATTAAGGCACAGACTATGAACGCAGCTGTGGCATGCAGGTGGCAGTGTCGATTTCTACATGTGGGCGGGAATTAACCGCCCCTTTCTGCTGATTGGTCAGCCGAAGATCAAACCGTGCCTTCATCAGTTCTAGTAGTTATATCTACACAGAAGAAAGGCCTGTCTAGACTCTGCCCCAGTACGAGTTGTGTCAAGCTATTCATTAGTCTGTTTGTTTGATGAAAAATTTGAAATTGATAAAATGGTTTATTAATCCGTACAACTGCAGCAGTGGAGGACTATTATTCTGCTGCGTGATACTGCAGAAGAACTGATGATGGCACGGTTTGATCTTCGGCTGACCAATCAGCAGAAAGGGGCGTTTAATTCCCGCCCACATGTAGAAATCAAATATTCAAGCTGTTTATTCATTTTTCCACCCATAAACGAAAATTTAAGCTGAATTCTCGTTTCTCGTTTTTTGGAGAAAAAAAAAACGAAAAAACGAAAAAGGAGCCGTTTTCTAATTTTTCTACTTTCAATATTAAATCAAAAAACGAATGATCGAATGATACACGGATTTAAAACGAAGCAACCTTTTGATAAATGTCGTTCAGATGAGGCATTAAACTGGCCTCCTGACATTCTGTAATTCCCCACCTTAATACAGAATCAGCTGTATTTATACCTCATGAATAGTTTTTTTTCATAAATGCATAGATATATGCCAAGGCATTTCTGTTGACAACACAAATGGTCCTTCAACTTGTATATGCAGTAGTGAGTGTTTAACCACTGCTTTTAATGAGCAAAGTCTCTAAATATAGTGTAGTCTCCATACGGATCTGCTTACACTGGATGGAATGGATGGGAAAACCGTGGGTCTATGGTGTAATTGTTTTGTCGCAGGACAAAATGGCTGATAAGAGTGACCTAAAAGCCGAACTTGAGCGTAAGAAACAGCGCCTTGCTCAAATCAGAGAGGAAAAAAAGAGAAAGGAGGAAGAAAAAAAGAAAAAAGAGGTGAGATAATATTTTAATGAGACTAATTCAGAATGTGGTAAGAACTTTATATGAATATCTGAGTATGTGTGCTTGTGTGTGCATTTGTAAACGTAAACAGTCAGAGACACAACAGAAAGCAGAAGCTGCTCCTGAGGATTCAGATTTGCACCGCAAGCACAGGGAGACCAACCAAGGCCCTCCTCGAGCATTGGAATCTCACCCGAACCTCTATTAGGTACAGTACACAGACCACTGGACCGCATTGAAATATCCATCTGCACCGCAGCCACCTCACTCAACAATGCCTGCCTCCGAAACACTTCAGAACATTGCCTTTTTACCTTTGCCAAGATCAGGCTGTGTAATATTCTGGGTTTGCTTCAAGTCTCTGAATGGGACTTCATCCAAACCTCTTTTTAGACGGGCTTTTCCAGTCTTTTCCATTCTGCATTTCAGTGTTTTTGCTACACTGTACGTCCTGAATTACTAATCCTGTCAAAGTTGTTTTGTAATTGCTAATGTAATTACTAAGGTTTATCCAACAGAATAGTTATTTTCAACTGCCCAGGAAGTCACACAAATCTCTAGACGTTAACAATACACTAATTAATGCAAACATGAGCAAATTGAGAAGCTTCTTATCTCACCACTGTGCTGGTTTTGTGACAGTCATGTACTCCTTTTCTTTGCTACTATTGCCATCTAGTGCAGAGCTATGTACATTACAAAGATGGGCTCCATACTTATAACTTTGCTTTTTAAATTAAATCTAATTGTGCATAGTATAAATTAGTGCAGTATAAATATTATACCTTTGTTTATAAAGTAGCTGGTTAAAATGTATTTGAAATTTAACAACATTTTGTATCCGACTGTGTTTATGTCTTTTCATAGTCCCGACACCAATGTCCCCATCAAAATCAATGAGCACACCCAGCGAGACAGGCAGCCATCGGTTGATGGAGCAGCTGCTGGCAGGTATTTTAACACCCCGAAATATATTAATATATCATATATGACCATGTACCTTCAGTAGACATCAATCATTAATGTTTTTAGTATTTGAGAGTAAAACAAATGCTTTTGCCAATAATAAAGTAGGGTAAACAATACAAGTTAAAGTAAGGCAATACAATGCAAGTTAATAACAATTTATTTTATTTTTTACTGTAAATGATCTATATACACTACAGTTCAAATGTTTGGGTTGCTAAGATTTTCAGATTTTTGAAAGAAGTCTTTTACGCTCACCAATTGTAATATTTAATATGTTAATATTAAATATATTTAAACATTTAATCTATTTTTAAATGTAATTTATTCCTGTGACGGAAAAGCTGAATTTTCAGCATCATTACTCCAGTCTTCAGTGTCACATGACCCTTCAGAAATCATCCTAATATGCAGATTGGTGCTCAAGAAACATTTCTTATTGTTACAGATTGAAAACTGTAACACTGTGTGTTGAAAACAGCTGTGCTGCTTCATAATTTTGTGGAAACAAATTTTTGTAATTTATGATCAATTTAATGTTTTATTGATTAATAATTAATTAATAATTAATTTCTTCATTCTGAATATATATATATATATATACAGTATATATATATATATATAATATTTTATAATGTAGTAGAATACTTTTTATTAAAAAAATATATAATTATTTTATAATAATTTTGATTTAATTTTTTGTATTTGAGTGGGAACATTAAATAAGAATTTAAATGTCAGTTCAGAAATAAAATATTCTGTTCTAATCTTTGTTTTTCAAATACTAAACGTGTTTCTATGTTAACGGGATAGTTCACCCAAAAATGAAAATTCTGTCATTAATTTCTCACCTTCATGTCGTTCCAAACCCGTAAGACCTTCGTTCATCTTCAAAACAGAAATTAAGATATTTTTTGATGAAATCCGAGAGCTCTCAGACCCTGCATAGCCTGCAATACAACTGAAATGTTCCCAGGTCCAGAAAGGTGGTAAGGACATTGGTAAAATAGTCCATCAGGGGTTCAATCGTAATTTTACAAAGCTACAAGAATACTTTTTGTGCGCAAATAAAACAAATTTAGCGACTATTTTACCGATGTCCCAGAATTTTAATTTTTGGGTATACTATCCCTTCAATAGCTTTTGTTTAAGCAGGAACAAGTTATTTTGTAACACAAGTGTGACTGATTTTTTTTTTTATATGGGATCAACAGATATAGGTAAGAATCATTCTGTGGTTCCTGTAGTGTGCTCATTTTTGATTTTCCACTTCACCTGTCAGCCTGAGACAATATAAAAGACCAAAGCAGCCTATCTCAAGGTATAAAATCTATCTCCACTGATACTGAAATAGAGAGTTTAAGAGAATGCCTGTCTAATCAATTTAGTGGGCATCTAGAAATTGATAACTAACCAGAGAATTTCCTGTTAGAGAAATATTTGTAAGATGAGACGATAGATTTTTAACATAAAGCATCAAAAATAACAACCAAGAGTGTATCAGTGCCGGTAGCAGTGAGGGCTGTTAACAGGCTCATTTTTCTTTCTCTGAAATATATACAGATAGCTGCAGTCATGTGGAAAGGGGAAGGCTGATGCGACTGCTGCTTTGGCCTGTAATTAAGTCTGCATAATGCAGTCGTGCAGCACGTTTGACACATGATGTGCGTGTTTGTCCCTGTCAGCGCTCCCTGCAGGGGGCTCGGCTCACAGCAACTGGACTAAAGTGATATTTCCAGGACATATTAATGACTTCATCTTTAGCTATGCAGTACCATTGCCTCATGGTAGCATGATAGTCACATAGGATTATATATGAGTTGTTTTTACTCCAAGGTTGGTTGTAACAGTGTCCCGCTCTAAGTGTCTCCATCTATATAACTCTCGCCCTCTCCCAGGTCAGGGGTCAATGGCATTAGTAAGCACAAAACAGACACAAACAATGAAAGGTATGTATCCGCACAAAACCCTAACCCATAATCCCAAGCAGCCCCTTTGAAGGGAACTTGTACGCTCCGCTATTAAAGTCAGGGCACACACTATCTTATGGGCAGTTGAAAAAAGCAGAGCAGTTTAGATTGCTCCCCTCGGTGTGACTGCCTGATGCCTGCTGTTACCTTGAGCCTTGACTTTAACAATTCCTCTTGCATGGTTAAATTGGAGCCATTTGCAATGACGTGAATGACGATACAGTTTTTTAAATGTCATCACTGGTAAAACAGAGTGTCAGTTTGACAAGCTACCCCTCTGGCTGTGTAAGTTTGGTGAAACAAAAATTAATAGGCATGTTTGTGACTTGTACTGAAGGTTGAGGAAAAAAGTTTACAAGGTCAACACCGTTTTGACTTGTTTCTATAGGATAAAATATGCACATCACAGCAAAGCTTTGCCTACAGGTTTTGTGGGTTGTATAAGAATAGGATATATATAGTTACAGAATATCTATGTGCTGTATTCTGGCCACCAATCAAAACACGTCATGTATGAAATGCTTTTTTCATATATGTCTGTCTTAGTGTACAATATCTCACTCTATGTAACATACTGTTTACATGTTTATCTTTCTAATCAGCTTAATAGTTGAGCTTATGAAAGATGACTGGTTTTGTGTATCCTTAACAAAAAAAGTCTGTGGCATTACCATGGTATGATAATGATATCAGATGGTACTATGAATTAGGCCTACTTTATCCATCTTATTTTTAATGTAAGAGTGGGTGCGGCCATTTGTAACTTGAATGTGCGAAGCTTCCGTTTTCATCTACTTCCAGTTATTTTTAGCTGTACAAAAACAGTTTGTTATGCTGTTTGATATTGCAAACTGATATTATCATATTTGTAGCACAAATAGTTTCACTGTTTACTGAACTTTGTTATTCTTCTAGTTATTTACCTATAGAGGCTAATGAATCAGAAGTCTTCCGCATTGTAAAATACGGTGGATACGGTCATTTCTCACTGCGCTTAAACCCCAAGTTTTTAAATCCCATTTTCAACCTCAGGATAAAACAATGTTTCATACTTTTTAAATGTTAGAATGTGGTTAGCAATGGATTAAATTTCAAATGACTGTGCTAAAGGTAGTGTGTAAAGCAACACACTGTCATGGCAATTTGTAACTATTTTACATTTTTGCAAATTAGTGGCCAATTCATGAATTTGTACAATCTCATTTGTACATTTTTGTACAATCTGCTTACATCTCACGTTTAGGGGTGGTCCCTATGGTCCCCCATGTGTTATTATTGTTGTTTTTTCTTCTCTCTAAAAATCTTACATTTCTATACGAATCACATTGTATGAATTTATATGAAATTGCCACCCCTTAAAATAATTATGTTATCTCATGAGATTGGGTTGGTGTAAAAGGCATCATGCATCACACAGTCATGGAGATTCAGAACTCCAGTACACATTGGAGTTGCAAATGTCAGTGAAGCGACGCAATTGATGCCATAGGACATATAACAAAGCCAACATGGCGCTTGTAGTACGTCTGGATTTCATTCATACTACACACATTAATGATATAGAGAAGATACTTTTTAAACAGCAACAAAGTAAGTTCTTCACTAAATGTCATACCTACTCAGTATGCGATTTCGGATGTAGTGAAAATGAAACAGTGACGGAAAATGTGTTACTTTTTAATTAATTTAAGTGAAGAGCGGTTTATTCTTAAAGTTATGCACTGAAAAGTGTGTCAAGGACAATCTGTAAGGTCATGAACGTATAAATGATGTGCAAGGTCACAAGTTGTGTTTGGCAATGATATTGACTTTGCAAATATGCAAAGGAATGTTAGCCTGGGGTTTAGGAATGTGCGGTACCACAAATATGTAACTTTTTGTAAGGGTTTATTCAGTTTATTTATTTTCATAACTCTTCACATTTCTCATATGTCCATCCCACAATTTAATATTATAACCTAAGAAAGATTTGGTGACTTGTCATATTCCCCATGCGATTCTCACATAATTTTAATATAATACATCTTCTACAGTAACATGCATGCCATCCTTTGAAAAGTGCGTAAACATGATCCTTCTTAGCATTGTTTCAAACTGCATCCCCATGTGTGCTGATTTGATTGGTTCTTTCTCACTGTTCTACTGGCTTGCATGAGGCGTGTTGTTTGATGGCGTGTGTGCTATGATATTTATGTTTGTGTGTATGATGGTGTTGTTTCTGCTGAGGTTAATCTTGCATGTTCTCTCCCTCCTGTCCCCTGCGTGACACCCTCTGCCGCCCACTCCAGGACCTTGCAGTGGGACACTGACCCCTCTGTTCTTCAGCTGCAGTCTGACTCTGAGCTCGGGTACCTCTTCCTCTCTGTCTCTTTCTTTCTTTCTTTCTTTCTTTCTTTTGACTCAGATCTGCCAAACTTTTAAATGCATACACATACACATATACATGTACAAATATTTCTCAGCAGATATGTACATGCATTTCTTTGGACACCTATTGGCTACATTCAGTGCAGGGATGTGTGAATGAATTCTTAAATTCTTGAATTTGAATTGAGTAAATATAGTGCAAAATTGCAATTTAAAAAAGTAAGTGAAATTAAAATGAATTTAATTTAAAATATATTATTTACTTTTACTTTTTACAGCAAATGTCTCGTTTAGATAGATAGATGGATAGATAGATAGATAGATAGATAAAGATATGGATGGATGGATGGATAGATAGATAGAAAATACAGTAAAAACACTAATATTGTTTAGGCTGCATTAGGTTCACCAAGAAGGCATTTATATGATCAAAAACACTGTAAAAGCTAACATTGTGAAATATTTAAATACTTACACTAAAAACACTAATATTATGAAATATTATTACAATATTTATAATAAAAAACACTAATATAGTAAACAAATATTAAAATGGAAAATATGGCTCAAAAGAACCATATAAATTTTTTCTATTGTATATTGTGAGCATAACATTTTTGATGTATGACTAAAAGCTTAGAAGTTATCGGTTAAAAACAAGAAGATTTATTAAAAAAAAAACAGTAACTAGTCCATAGGCAAAGTATCTTTAATTGTAGATTAATAAAATAGGAATTATTATTATAATATTGCAGATTTTGTCTTGTTTCTAGGCTGATTGTATTCTAGGTTTCTTTCTAATTTAACTTTTTTTTTTTTACATTGATAATCAACAATTATATATTTGTGAGTGTGTGTGTGTGTGTGTGTGTGTCTGTATGTGGTATTGCACTGCATTTGTACTGTACTGTACCAATGTGCATGCAACTCTTCCTTTGTTCCTCTCATTTCTCTTTCTGGCTCGCTCCCTCTATCTCATTCCCCTTTCCTTTTAAGTTTGTCAAGTTCAAGTGTTTTCAGCTGGTCACTCTCCAGCTGTGTGCCCAGGGCTGTATGCGACAGTGATTGATACACCATGCCATGTACTGAGAATGCTTTAAACATTAGTTCTAGCAGTCAACTGAGGGTCATCCAAACTTACAATATGTTCATGGACCTGAATAATGAGCCCTACAGCATATTAGATGTAACATCGTATTTTGTCACCGTGATGCTGTCAATTTGTTATTGCTGTATGTATTTTAATGCACATGCAAGTGTGTGCATATGACGTGTCAGGTTGCAGGACATTCATAGGCCGTTATTTTTCTCTCCCCAGATGTCGAATGCACAGATTGGGACCTTCTAAGATAACTCAGGTGGATTTCCTGCCCAGAAAGGTGGTGTCCTACTGTAAAGACACAAAAAGCAGCTCATCAATCTGAAGGTAGATGCTTACAGTAATATTCAGTATTATGTACAGAATATGTATGTAATATAATATAGAGTGGTTAAACTACATTTAAAGGGATAGTTCACCCAAAAATGAACATTTTGTCATTAATTACACACCCTCATGTCGTTCCAAACCCGTAAGAACTTTGTTCATCGTCGGAACACAAATTAAGATATTTTTTATGAAATCTGAGAGCTTTCTGACCCTCCATAGAAAGCATTCAACTGACACATCGTGGTACTGTACTCTCATGAACGCGCGGAGAAGACTGACATGTAAGAGAAAAAACTGTTGATTAAAATCTTTATTTTTGTTTTCTTTGCACACACAAAGTATTCTTGTAGCTTCATAGCATTACAGTTGAACCACTGATGTCACATGGACTATTTTAATGATGTCCTTACTTCTTTTCTGGGTTTCTAAATGAAACCAATAAAAATAGAAACATTTGTATTACGGAGTCCACTTAATGATAAACAGCAGCATTTAAAAAATCCCTACAAAAAGATGACTCAAATGAATCTGTGAATCATTTTTGAATGAATTCATTTATATGAATCTTCCAATGAGCCGATTCACTGAAAGGAATCAGTTTAGGAGTGTCTGTGTGATTCAAGTTTGTTCAGCTGTAAAGCTGCATGTACAATATAATGTGACACTTTAAATACAGCACTTTGTCATGCTACATCGCTGCTCATTTCGAAGTAGATTGTTACTGGAAAAACTGTGTTATTTTGGAAAGAGCTGAGCTATTGTCATGCTGATGAAAAATGTAGTAAGTAGCATTGCTTCCAGTTAGTTATTCGCCAACTCTGAACTATAACCACATGAACTGTGGAGAGAAAAATAATGCTATTAATCAATTTAAGTTTTCCGGCCAACTACGATGTGAGGTCATAACCTATGCTTAATTCAATTCAAAATAAATGTAATTAAAATATATTTTCCTGGTGTTTTATACTGTAGGCTAGTAATTGCCTCTTGTGTGAAGTGATATTTATGTAGCGCAAAATCAGACATTTAATTACAAATGTGCATGTATTCACCTTGTCAACCACTGTTAAGATCTACAATAACTTATTTATGTAGTTTTATCTGTATTCAATCAAAATAGGCAATTTGGGATTTCATGGAAAAAACAGCTTAGGACAAGTTCTGAAATTGAAACGGGCTGCTCGGTGAAGAGCTTTGATTTTCATCGCTGTCAGGTGGGCTGTCATGCTGACCGTCTGGTTCCACTGAAGAGCTCCAAACCTGTGCAGATTAAGATTCATTTGACCAGCCGCGGCCTCCATTTCCTGAGAGGGGAGCTGGGGGGACAGCTTTTTTGAAAAGAGATGCCTGCCCATCAGTGGCTCTGCTTGAAATGGCAGAACAGTAACGGCATTGAGTCAGGCTTTAAGTGGATGCAGACGGGTAATTCAAGATGGCTTCTATCATCAGAACATCACTTGGAGTTGTGCCTGCGTTTCTGTAGAGAGCTACCAGTTTACTTTTGCCATGATTATTGAGTTCACTATCAGTTCAGGTGTGCATGACCTTTCAAAAGATTGAATGTTGTAGATGAATCCTTTGTAGACCAATTTCTTAATCCATCTACGTTTAAATAGTAATATCCTGGGATAGTTCACACGGATAAGTTCTGTCATCATTTATTCATACTTAAGTTGTTCCAGACCTGGCTCTCTTTTTTCTGGAGCACAAAAGAAGATTTTGATAATATTTTGAAGAATATTGGTAAACAAACATCTTATTTTTTTTTCCATATTTTAGATACATATTCAAATATCTCAAATGTATTTACATTTTTTATTTTATATTTATTTTAGCCCCCCCCCAAAAAAACAGAAAAAATACAACAAATAATTGATTCGATTTTACATTTGCAGTAGTAACCAGTAGAAATTATACAGCTAGAGCTATAAATTCTGAAACACATTTTTTCTGGTGTTTACTGTAAATACCATGGTAATGTTATTCAAAACAACAATATTCAAAACATCACTGAAACCCATGTTTAAGCTTGGAAGTTCTAAAAATAAAAATATATAGTGAAATAGCATCATCGGCCTTCCTTTTTGTTGAAATTCAGTAGAGTACAACTCCTTTAAATGGTTAAATAGTAAATCCGTACTTCATGTAGCACGATACAGTATTAATAAAACTCCTTGAGCTGATTGATTTATGAAATGTGAAAGTGCTTAATCAAAGCCACTTCTACTTGTTTGTAAAAGAATAATGTCAGGATATTTCTCCTTATTAGTTTAAGTGTGGTTCCTACCACAAAGACTTCTTGGCTTCTCCATTTGTTAACTCGACACAGCAGTCAGCGCTGAGCCGCCCTCTTCCACAAGTGTACTCTAATGTACTCCATTGGCTTCAATCATATATCTGAAAGCCAATCATATTTAAAGTGTCATATTTCAATTACATTTTTAAATTTATAGCCTTGTTAAAATGAAGCTCACATAGAGCTCAGCTAATTTGATTGCATCCCCCAGACTCGGGAGCCAGGCCTGGTATAAAAAGCAGATGGTTTGAAAAGCACCCTAAGCATCTCCATATGGACGGGACCCCATAACAAGCAGCTTTTGGTATATTTGCATAACATCGCTGGTAGTTGTGATGTGAAGCAGAGCTTTTGCTCTTTAGTTCCCTCTGATTTGGGTTTTAAACCTGCAAGCGGTGCACTAAAAACGAGTGTTTTGTCAAATGCAGGCTTTACCTTGCTGCTCTTGTTCCCCTCCATCTCATCTTCTTCTTTCCATCTGCATTTCACACCAGAATCCCTCCATCCTCTCATGGCTCCTTGATCCCTATGCTGGCAACAGCTGCTTGCCATGTGATTGGAGACTTCCTGTCATTATAACTGATGTGTTTTTATTCTTTCCACTTCCTTGAAGTCTGATCAGAATTAAAATTGCTGGTGGAATTTCCTGTCAAGGCAGGTCATTTATTCAGCAAGTGCAACCCCTGACAAGCCTTTGATTGGACGTTGCCCTTAGCAATCGCACTCTGTACAGTTTATTTGTTTTTTCCTCTCGGCCTGCAGATGCAGGTTGAGCCCACAGCTGTCTGTAGGTACAGGTTGTCTGTCCAGGGGAGACCCTGCCCCTGCGAGACCTCTCACATGAGAAAGAGAGGAAGTTTTAATAGGCCTTTCCACCACCTGCTACAGCTTGCGTTCTGTGTTTGTTCAGGCCGGTGCAGAGGTTTCGTCCATTGATTGGTGAAACTAAACAGATGCTTTTTTTTCCCTTTTCTTTCTTTTTTCCTCTCTGACCCTCTCTCTCTCTTTTTCTCTGAGTTGGGGGATGCAAGAACCACCCAGGTGTTTGCCCCCCTGAGACTGCACTATAACACTGTCACGAAGGCCAGCAGTGCGCAGCAGCAGCCAGCATGTAGTTTGATGGTAGGTTGTAGGTTCCAATATGCCCTCTACAATGGTTAAAGATGTGCATGGTTAAATGTTTCATAAAATGGTAACACTTTACAGTATGGTTTCTTTTGTTAGCATTAGTTAACATGAACTAACAATTAACAATACTTATACAGGATTTATTCATCTTAATGTTAATCTAAACATTTTAAATCGGGGTTCCCGCAGGTCCTTAAAACGTTTTTCAAATTTAAGGCCATAAAAAGTCTTAAATTGTACAAGAAAGTCTTATTTATGATTTCAAGAGGTCTTAAATTGAATGTGACAATTAAACTTCTAAAGGCTATGATTTCATTAAATAAACATGAGCGCTGCAGGTTTCAAAGTCAGGTGCTGCACTGCTTTGTGTATAGCCGTTACCGGGGAAACAGTTAGTTTTTTGCAGTTCCGAAAGCGCCACCTGCTGGCAGAGAATGAATGTGCATTTTCCTGTTGTTTTTGTTCAGACCAATGCGAAAATCGCCCCATGTTTTTACCCTGCAAACACGCAGAGCTGTAAATGTGAACTAGTGGATCGATAAGAAGATAATGCATTATAAAAATCTAAACCGTAAAATGTATTTGTTATTTAATTAATATAATAATTTAATGAAAATAATTGTTTAAATTAATATAATAATTAATACTTTTTGACTCATCCATTTTCTTAAAACTGGTTTAAAGGCTGAAATGTGAAGTGTATCATTTTATAAAACCTTTTGTTTTTGTGAAAACTTGTATCTAAACTGCAAATCATGCTTTTTACAATCATTTCACAGTTTAATATGTTAATATAGACATTGCCCTACCCCGCTCATATGGTATTAATTTTATTTGTGCAGGTCTTCAAAAAGGTCTTAAAAAGTCTTAAATTTGAGCTTAAAAATCCTGCAGAAACCCTGTCAATACATTTTTAAGATAAAAAGTTCTGTATCTGTAAACAATGGATAATGCACTGTTAATAAACAAATGAGACCTTATTGTAAAGTATTTACATAATTATTTCCCTATTCCTTTTGTAGAATGTGGTAGTTCATCTAATTTGTCCATACTCATACAATAAACCTTTTTAAAATTAATATAAAATTATAGGTAACACTTTAGTATAGGGACCAATTCTCACTATTAACTAGTTGCTTATTAGCATGCCTTTTATTAACATATTGGCTGTTTATTAGCACTTATTAAAGCACATATTCTGCATAACCATATTCTATATCCCTAATCCAGCAAATTAGGAGTTTATTGAGGCAAAAGTCATAGTTAATGGTTTGTTAATAGCGAGAATTGTACCTTAAAATAAAGTGTGACCAAATTATAAAAATATTTTAATGCGCATTGTTTGTAAGATTAACTAATCTATAAGTCCTGAAGTACTGAGGATCCTTTTTCATTTGGACACTACTTTTTAAAAGTTTGGGTTCAGTAGTCTTTTTTTATGATAGAAATATCTTATGCTCACCAAGGCTGCATTTATTTGATGAAAAATACAGTAATATTAGTGAAATATTATTAAAATGTCAGTATCTGTTTTATATATTTTGTATTTTTCTGTTTTCTATTCTATTATGTTTTATATTTGATTCTACTTTTTATATTTTAAAATGTAATTTATTCCTGTAATGGCAAAGCTGGATTTTCAGCAGCAATTACTCCAGTCTTCAAAGTCACTTGATCTTTCAGAAATCATTCTAATATTCTAAACATTTCTTATTATTGTATTATACATACATATCTTATTATTATATTATTACTATGTTGACAGTTGTGCTGCTTCATATTTTTGTGTTAACCGTGATAATGTTTTTCAGGATTTTTTGATTAATAGAACGGTCAAAAGAACAGCATTTATTTGAAAGATAATCTTTTGTAAAAAAAAAAAAGCTTTTATAGAAAGACTTTTTATAAATGTCTTTATTGTCACTTTTGAGCAATTTAACACACACACACACACACACGCATATTACTGACCTCAAACTTGAGAAGACATGAGAAATGTTCAGGATTCTATGCTACGTCTATCACTACTCAGTCAAATTTACGACACTAATCATGCCGATTCCATTGTACACAAGGTCAGAAGGTCTTGTTTTCACTAAAGTACATGGTTTTTCTTTGGCTAATATCTGATACCTTTGGCTTAACACACTCAGTCGAAGAGTTCCTTAATGGATCCAAAAAGTACTTGGCCATGTGCATTCTGTTCATCAGCTGGTTGTGATGTTTTGTTGACCCCAATTTAGCCCTCGATGCAGGTTTAGTCACGTGCAGGTTCAGCCCTCCTGTTTCCAGCAGTATCAGATCCCATGATAGATACGCTTTCATAAAGATTTCCGCTGGTGGTCTGGGAGAAGTTGGCAGAAACGAAGGCCAAACCTGTTAGCCAGTGGCTCTTTTGTGGTATAAAAGCCTTCCAGATCTCACCATCAGAGGCAAAAGACCTTAAAATGACATTATTGTGAAGCAACAGCACTGGATGTTTGTAGCATGTTGTCATGACTCAGCAATACTGGTCAGTCAGGGGTTGTGACCCATCTGAACTTTTAACCCCGCTGAGAAGCCTGTTCTCTGCAGCCGTAGTTTGTCTCACATCAATCAATCAATAAATGTGTGTGACTCTGTTTAGGATTATTTAATTTAATGAACTGTTCGCTTCCGTCTCAGCTTTGCTCTAATGAATATAGGTAGTGTGATATGTGTCCAGGTTCTTGTCTGTTGGTTGGTCGGAGATCTGTCTCTGCTAAGTGTACATTGTTCTTCACTCAATCGAATTACCCGCCAATCACTGAGCGCCATATTCAAGGCTCCAGTGGGCTCTTGGCGACATAATTTGTATGAAAGAACAGGCTTGTAATTCCTAAAGACTGCTGGGAGTGGATAACATTGCAAAGGCATGGCTCATTCACTGGACAGTGCTTTAGTGGGTTCTGGGAAAGTCGGCTTCCCAGTTATATACTTTCCTCTGGCCCTTCCATTGTTGGCATAATGTTTTACACTGTGCATTTTTAGAGAAAGTGACCCTTGAACATTTGGCATCCTTGAGTGGAGCGGTAGTGATTAAATGTTAATCTGTAAAAATCTTCCCCCCCTTTGTGGGGAAGTCGTGGCCTAATGGTTAGAGAGTCGGACTCGTAACCCAAAGGTTGTGGGTTCGAGTCTCGTACCGGCAGGGATTGTAGGTGGGGGGAGTGAATGTACAGCGCTCTCTTCCATCTTCAATACCACGACTGAGGTGCCCTTGAGCAAGGCACCGAACCCCCAACTGCTCTCCGGGTGCCGCAGCAAAAAATGGCTGCCCACTGCTCTGGGTGTGTGTGTGTTCACTGCTGTGTGTGTGCACTTTGGATGGGATAAATGCAGAGCACTAATTCCGAGTATGGGTTCTGTTCACATTCTGTTTTGAGAAGAAAACAGTTGTTCATCCAAAGGGTTAGTTCACCTAAAAATGCAAATTCTGTCATTGTTTGCTCATTCTTAACAATTCTCACGGCTCCAAATTTCCACACAATAAACATAAAAAGAAAAAAAGAACAATAATTTAAAATGTAGACATTTTTGTTTCATCAGACATCATCTTGTTAGTGTGTTCACCAGTTTTGTTTCCTACAACAACAAAAACACTACGAGCCATGATGTCCAATTTGCGCACAAATTACTCTTATGAATCAGTTCTTTTTAACTGGTCTTTTCTTATTTAATTTTTTTTTTTCATGAAACATGAAAACAGCCTCACAAGGCCTAAGCCATTTGAATCAGTCACTGAATCGTTTAAAGCTGTTACTGAGCTATAAACTGACTCCCTTATTGAACTACGAGTAATTTTTCAGTAATGTGTGGTACAAAATAAAGTAACTATCACTGTCATTTATATTTTATGTTTTAGAAAATTAAATTATTCTGTGTTAAATTAAATTACTCTATATTACATGACAACACGCAATTAAAGATACATATTCAGTATTCTCTCAGGTTTATTTGTAATAAATAATGGTATAATAATAATTATAATAATTGTATTTAAAAACAGTTACTTTTAAGGAGAATTTTTAGTGCTTTTTTATACAGTGCATTTTTAGTGCTTTGAGATCAGGTCTTCTGAAAAAAAAAATAAAAAACTTTTCTGATGGAGCAAGTGGACCTATCAATGAAGTGTGGTCCAGATCAGCAGAGCTTGGATCTACGGGTAAGCCATAATACTTAAACAGCTTTAGCAGGCTCTACCGGTTATTACCATCAGCCGATAAGAATAGTTTCAACACTGTAGTTCAAAAAGTCCAAGTATTTCAGCTGTGCAAAGACCCTTGTGCAAGATAGTGAGACCCAAGGTTGGTTCAAATCCATAGAACTTTATTGCAACCGTTACGATATGAATTTTGTAATTTCTGTACTGCACTCGGTCACCCCTGTCCTGGAAACCATCTCAAGGAAGTTGAAGAGTTCAGAAGGTCATGGAAATTATGTGGTATTTTGTTTCTCACAATCTACCTCTTTCTGTATTTAACGTGTGCACGTACGTTTGTGTGTGTGAGTGCGCATTAGGCTTCTTTTGCTGGAATTTTTCAGGGCCATTAGCTCTGGGGGTCTCCAGTGGGAAGTGGTGATTCTCTTTTTTACAGTCACTTTTTTGGTAAACTTGTGGTGGTCCTGTAATGGTTCCTAATTGCAGTTCTAACTAACTGCTAATGTCTCCAGTGGGAAGTGGTGATTCACTTTTTACAGTCACTTTTTTGGTAAACTTGTGGTGGTCCTGTAATGGTTCCTAATTGCAGGCAAACTGAGTTCTAACTAACTGCTAATCTGAAAGACATTACAGGGACTTTGCAGAGACCACCGTAACCAAGCGGTTGAAAACAACAGTGAATGTCAATTGATCCCAGCCAAACATATTGACTCAATTAATTAAGTTTTCGGGTCAGTGTTTGACCACTGAATATCTCAAGCGTCCAAATAACCATAATGTTTGATGACACAGCTATGATTATTAACAGTCAGGC